TGTGGAACTAGAACAGTCTACCCCAGTGAGCGAAATAAAGGGTTCAGTTCAACATTTGATCTGTTTGAAGAATGCCGGAGTGTACAACAGCGAAACGTAATACATATGGCGAGAAAGATGAGGACAATAGTCCAAATAAGTAAAGAGTCTACATAAGACCTCATCTCAGAAATATAGACAGATTAATAAACGTAGTTACATTGTTCTATATTTAAAATAATTTTTTATTTTGAATTTTTTTACTTAATATGTTCCCTATTTTCATGTATGGTAGATTGATCTTGCCATTATTATGAAAAGTCACATGATCTAAGAGTTTTGTCCCTTTACAGAGAAATTAGAATCTGTAATTCATTCATTATTTATGTTATGTTTCAACAGATTTTCAGGCTTTTAAAATTTAAAGCAAGATTTACTTTTTTCAATTACTATTTCATTAAATATTTTTATTTTATGTATTTACATTAGTGTGGTTCATACTTCAAATGAGTATTTTTTTTTTTTTTTAATTTCATTTAGTTTATTCTTAATGACAGTTATTTTGATAAAGACGTTTAATTTAATCTTAAAAATAATGTTTAATGAATTTAAATTATTTTTAAACTTTATTTCATTCTTAATTGAAATTAGTTTTTTTTCAATTTCTATTAATTTTGAATAGTTTTCTTTTCAACAGTGTTCACAATTTTAGATTGAAATAGAAAAATATTTTTTTTCATTTTAGCCAATGTTAATTAAAGGTTATTATTAATGATTAAATAATATTTTAATTTTAAAAAATTTCGGATCAAGATGTTAATTTTCTTGCTTACTTATCTTTATTTTTTTTTTAAATTATAGCAGAGAACAGAAAACATTTTGAAACCTATAGCTGCATCCCACATAGACAACCAATTCTCTGTGGTCATAGTTTTGAAAAATTTTTTTTCCAGATATATGGAACATTTCAGAAAGTAGGAAATGGGCCATGTTGGAGAATGCCAAAATGGTATCCCACCAATTTTGTGCAATTCGGTTAGAAAACTTTAGGGCTTCTACAAGGACAGAAATAAAGGGACCAACTTTTCTGAATTAACCTTAAAAAAAAAAAGATGTAGAAAAGTTGTTTACATTCTGTCCCATCTCCTATTGCCAGGGACTACAAGCAGCAGCATATTGGTGGCTGCATCAATAAATTAGCCAAAGTGGTTTCACTATCTACTGGCAAAAGTGTTGATTTTTTTTTTTTTTTAAGACTAAATTTTATACATTATTATGTTATGCAAAATCAAAGTGACCAATCTTTATTAATATTCTTAAAATTGTACACTCAGTTAGAAGACAACTTAAACTACAACCAGAAAAATGTTCACTTCTCTGACCTGAAAAAGGAATTCCTTCAAAAATTTTAAGCAAAAAAAAAAAAAACTTCTTTTCTGGTACGCCAGTCAACTATTATTGAAGTTTTGCAAATAAATTTCTTCTAAATAAGGAAATTCAATGACTTATTTTTTCTTCTAAATAAATTTGTTTTTCTCTAGCGATTACAACTAAAATTAAATATTAAAAATAATTAAAAGCTTTTTTTAATTTCATTTTTAGGATGTGTAATTTCCAAATCTGTATCACCTGTTCTTTTGAGAGATACACATTTTAAAACTGAAATTAAAAACTATTTTCATCATTTTAATATATAATCTTAAGTGTATTCACTTGATAAAACCATGAAGATATTTGCAAAAAAGTAAAATGAATTAATTTTCCTTGTTTACAAGAATTTTATCAGCAAAACACCCACCTAAAAAAGAATTTTTACTTTGGTTTTTAAAAATGACTTGCAGTTTTGAAAACATACCCATTTTAAAACTGAGATTAAAATTTATTTTAATATCTAATTTTACATGTATTCGCTAGATAGAAAAAAATAATTTTATTTGTAGAAAATAGAGACTTGTATATCTTGAAATTTACACATTTTTAAAATAAAATTAGAGCTATTTTAATTATTCTTAATATCAAATTTAGGTGCATACCTAGATAGAAAAAAAACAAACTTATTTATTAAAAAAATCTTCATTCATTTTTCTTGTTTACAACAAATTTATATCGTGATTGGCATAATGGTTTTCTAGAAAACCTCACAAAAAAAAAATCCGACTATATTTATTTTTACTCGCTATTTTCTTGTTAACTTAATTTTACCGCAAAAGTGGGGTTTTTTTTTGGTTTTTTTTTTTTTGTTTTTTTGAAAACTGAAACGAATAGATTTCAGACATTATGCCATATTTCCTTTTTTCTTTTTCATTTCTTATGTCAAAAAACAAATAGATTTCATATTTATTTCCTGAAACTACTCAATTAAATGCTTTTAACCTATTTTTGTTCAAAATATTTTTTTACAATGGTATAAAGTGGTTAATTTTATTAACATCTGAAAGTCTTTTTCAATAGTCTTTCTTTGAATATGATCACTCATTAGTGATATCACTAAACTGAATGATTTCGGTTTCGTAAAAAATTTCAATGCAGTTTCACGGTGTGAGGATGACTAGTGTGGCTAGACATCTAATTGCCTCAAGCCAGAATCAAACCTGACTGATTTGGCATCAGCCGGAGATTTTACCCCTGATCTATCAGCGCCCATCAGATTTTTTTTACATACTTATTCTTTGAATAAACACACCAATGACTGAGAGAGCTCAATTCATAGAAGAGCTTTGCAGTAGTAGTCATTTACAAATTCGCACTTTTCTCTAGAGTGCTTGACCGGAATTAAATTTTATGGGTGGGTGGGTGGTTGTATATATATATATATATATATATATATATATATATATATATATAGTTTTGCAAATAGAAAATAACTATAAAATAATAAAATGACTTTTAAAAAAGAAGTTGAGATGAATTTCTTTAAAGGAAACAGTAAATATACAGTAGAAGAAATAACAATAACAAGAAAAATTCTATAATGTAAGATTTTTTACATACTTAGCATAAAATGTTGTATACAAGCATTTCTTAATGACGGAGTTTTGTTATACTCATGTCCCAGAGATACAGAACAACAAGGAGACTTTGTGAAGCCACTTTGGAGCCCTAAGATCAGTCCAACCACCTTAAGATTTCCACAGGTCAACCATCTGTGCTCCTGGTACTTAACAGCAGACAACAAATGATCCATACTGTTGTGAGTCTCTTTCATTTGTACTGAAAGCCGAATAGGGATAGATGAACAAACAATTGCCATTATGTAGAAGAACTGATTTGTGACTTCTGCTAGAAAAGTCAATAAAAAGTCTCCATTCCATAACATCATACTCTAAGCTGATAAAAAAGCGCCATCTTCAAATTTCTTAAAGCGTTACCCGGTGAAAGGAACACTGAACCAATTTACTTAACATCTGAATGTTAAAAGTGATTGTGAATGCAGCAAATTGCAGCCTCTCTCTCTCTCTCTGTTCTTTTACCTTTTTCTAATTGATCTTCTCTCTCTTTTGTTTCTTTTGATTTCTCTTTTTCTCTGACAAACTGTATATTTCCTTACCCCACTATCTTTATATTTTATTTTTTTCTATCACTCTTACTATTCCTCCTCATTCCCCCCACTCTCTAATATTTCATTCACCTTCCTATTAAATCCCCCCTCTTTTATTTGTGATTTACAAAACTAAGATTTTTCAACAAATCGATTTGTCTTTCTTCTAAAATCTAAAAATTTTGGGTCACTGTACTTTTGGTTTTAGAAATTGATTTTTTTTTTTTTTTTTTTTATGCTTTTGAAATTTGACCTTTTTTATAAAAAATATATTTTGTCTTTGCATTTTCAGATTTCATTTTGCCTGAAAGAAATCTAGAAATGGCTTCGTCATCTTTGAGGAATTAGACATTGGAACCGAAAAAGCGCCTAGTCAACCTGCAGGAAGATGTCGAAGATTTTGAAAGGTGTTTCCATGGAATGACTGAAAGAACCAAGCAATCCATTGATCAAATAAATGTCAATTGATTGCGATTCGAACTGTTCAAAAGTCTGTCAGGAATTTGATGAGTTTATGAAAAAGGCACGGATGAAGGCCGGGGAATCGTGCAACCAAATGAGACAAAAGACGACCGAACTGCAGAGCAAATGACGCCAATCCCTGCAAGAAAAAGAAGAGTTTTTGGAGGAGGTGGGAAAGTTTTGAAGGTAGGAAAATAAAACTGTCCAAATTCATCCCCACAAAAATTGTCTATTTCTTCTTCAGTTTTCACCTTTTGAAGAATTTGTCCATTTTGATCAAAGATTTCCGACATTCCTCATCCTGTTCTCCACAAATTCTCGGTTGTGGGATCGGCACAAAGGAGGGGCAGATGGTCAGAAACCAGTCCCGGCAGATTGTCAAGTTTGATTGTTTTTTATTTCCTTCCTTAGAAAAACAACAAATTTCTTCAAAATCCAAATCACAAACGAAAATTTGTTCGTCCACTTGACACAAAGAAAAAAAAATTGCTTTTATTCATCTGTGTCAATTATTTTTACTTTTTCTAAAAAATGGTGGTGCCAAATATAAAAGTCCTCCACGCTCCAACTCTGGCCCTGACACCAACACACCACAAACAACCAAAATGTCTTTGGAAAGACAACAAGTGTCAAAGAGTGAGAATCCCTTGTCGTCTAAGTGACATTGGTTGATGAATTCCTCAGTCTGGATAAATTCCTTGATCGATTTGTCGCTCCAATCGATAACAAAGATGTGACCGTCTTCGTCGCTGCCGGCAAGCGAGAAAATCCCCAGGTTCGAATCCTGCAGATGGCATTCACTTTTCAGTTCCAATTTCCTTGGGTGCCATCTCTCGACCGTGAAGTCGACCATTTCTTCTTGAAGTTGATTCAATGATTGCTGGCACCATTCTGGGAAGGTCACCACAAAATGACCTTCCTCTCCAGGAGTGAATGAGTCATGAAGCCGCGATGAATGTTTCACTCCTATCGACTGTATACGAGAAACAATGCCCTCATCATCGTTGCTGAAGCTTAATAAATGGCGCAAACTGATGAGCCCTTTTTCCGCCTCCTCCAAAAACTCTTCTTTCTTCTGCAGGGATTGGCGCCATTTGCTCTGCAGTTCGGGTTGTTTTTTTGTCTAATTTGGTTGCACAATTCTTCGGCCTGTTTTGTTGGAAAAGGTTGTGTACGAATTTCCAAAAATACCTGTCTCTGTTCTGAGGATTTTTGTTTCTCAAAAACAATTCTTTGTTTTGAAAACGATGGAAAATATTTAATGAAAATTTTGAAAAATATTTGAAAAATAAACTTCTTTTAAAAATTAGTTTATGTAAATGTTTTCAATGATTTCACATTATGAGTTTAGGTAATTATGACAGAAAAATGTTCCTTTTTCATAATATGAATCAAATGACAAAAATTGTTTAATCATTTTGTGGAAAAACTATGATTTTACCAGATTTACAGGAAAAAAATGTCATTTTCTGAATTTCTGCAGAAAATAAAATTTTTTTTTACCAAAGTAATTGTTGAAATGTTTCCTTAAAAACTGGATTTTATTCACCTGATAACAATGAGATGAGTCAAATAATTAAAAAGATTTTTTTTTCTCTCTCTCTCTCTCTCTCTATCTAAGGAAAGTTTTGTTTTTGTTTTTTTTTTAAAATGACATCTCTTGGGTCCCAACTGGAAGAGCAGGCCGATTTGAAAGGGTGTGGCCCGTCTTTACCGAACAAAAGATGACCTCCAGAGTGGGGGAGGTTAAAAACAACGGTTACAAAAAAATGAACTTGGAACAACAATCGTCATCATCATTAATGAGAATTAAGAAAAAAAAATCAGTTGAAATAATATCACTGATAAAATCCTTTCTTTTTCACAGACTCTCTCCTCCTCCCGCTTCTAAATTTCATCCCTCCCTTTCTTCATCTCCTTTAAACTGTTTTTCTCTCTTTATTTTCTCTACCCTCTCCACCATCACCGACAATTTCCCTCTCCCTATATATTGCTTATGTTTTTCAATGTCATCCAATTCTGCCATTTTTCGATGACCGCAAACGAAAGAAAAATGAAAGCCAAGCAGTTCAAGGGAAAACTTTCAAAAAACTCAATTAATGCACAGTCCAGATAATCAAAGAGAAGGTTGTAGAGAGCCATAACCCATTATATATGGAAGGGAGATGAAACTGAATAAAGAAATCGACAAAAATAGATTTGAGTCGTAGCCATATTTACTGTTTTATTAATGCATTTTCTTTCTATTAAAAAAAAAAAATTTAAAACCGAATCCAATTGGCTGGTATTATAGCAAGGTGATTGAACCCAAATGACGGAAGCTGTCCAGTTTGCCAGTTTTGCTAAGTTGCAATCAGCCGTCATATGTCGTCATATATATATATATATATATATATATATATATATATATATATATATATATATATATATATATATATATATAATTATACACACTTAGTACTTTTTATTTCCCTTGAATTGACCCATTATTTGTGGTTTTAATGCCTTCAAATCAATAAATAAAATTATCGGAAACTCGTTAATAAATCGATTATTAATCTAACACTTGATTATTTAATGAAATTTGTGTTTATCATTTCCATAAATGGGGTCGAAAAATTCACCCGAAATTGTTTACTTTTCCTTGTTATTTTTTGATGTAAGACAAGCAATCTCTTTTGCTATTTGGAGAGAGAAGTCGATAGAAGGAATTGAAACCTGGACAATTTATTTGAAAAAATCCCCAAAAAGTGGAAATTTTTTTATTGCAATATTATTGCAGTATTATACTTTGTAAACAAAAGAAAACGAGAAACTCATTTTAAACAATTTAAGTGTCTTCTTTGAATTTAAATTTTGATGTTCTTTGAAAATTAATGGTTTAAAAAGCTAATCTGAATTAAAGGAATTGCTTTCCGTATATAAACTTTTCAGGCAATTTTACAATTTTGGCACTTTTATCGTCATTTATAAATCCATCGAACCGCTATTATATACAAAAGATGGCAGCAACAAATTTTAAAATGTCTTTCAAATACAATATTTGTCAGAGAGATGAGTTTCAAGTCTGTTAGTAAATTTAAGGATTAATTAATTGGATTTTTTTAATCTAATGTTTACTTATCCTTAAAATAGAATGAAAATAACGTTTTATTTACAATTACACCCAAAAAGGCGCGCGTAAAAGTAAAATTAAAACCTAAATACGACAGACCAGCAGTGACATAATCAGTAGTTTCTTATTATTTTTCAAAATAATTTTTTTAACCAATAATTTAAAAATATAATTTTTTTTTTCTATACAATTTTTTATTAAAATTAGGATAATGAATAAATTTGAAGGCAGTAAGTCGCCCCCTAAAGAAAAATATAACGTAAATGTAATTTGTGTTCAATTAACGTGAAAAGAAAAGGATTTTTTCTAAATATAAATTTTAGAAAAATGACAATATAAAATATTATTTTCTGCAAATGAATTAATTTCGTTGCAATTCTGAAATATTTCTTGGTGTTGAGTCGGAGAAATTATGCAGGAAAAAATAAAAGAATGATTTCTTTTAAAATAATGAAAACTTAAAAGTACAATTTCTGTTTAATGACTGAAGTCAGAATTGGTTTTTGTTGTAGAGAAGAATCTGTAAATAAATGCAAGAAAACAGAGACACGCAAATAAACAAAACAACTTTAATTATGGATGGGAAAATTGAATTTATTAGACAAAAACTGACTGAACGGGAATTGAATAATATCATTCCGATTTTGAATAATAGTCAGTCTATGCGTGATATAAGAATTATGCTCTTTTGTACATCCTTACCAAAACTAAATTAATCGTTGTCAAATCTGAAAGAAAATAACTTGTTTTATTAAATTATGCAAGCAGCAATTCTCAAAAATTATTTTGAGTTTTATTGAATTCATTTTTGAAAAATGCGGGACAAAGTTCTAAATGTTGACATTTGATATTGAATAAATTTTTGACTGAAATAATATCTTCGAGGATTTTCCTTGTCTAACTGCAAAACTGGACTGACCCACAAAGAAATGATAAAGTACACACCAGACATAAGAAGTGGGATGAAACATTCCTCCCAAAAATATTTCCTAAAACTTTAATTAAATCTTTTGCCTGATTTGTAGCAAAATTTTAAAAGCGAATTTTGTTTTCATTTCAGAAAAAAAAACATTTATTGTTGGTTGTACGCATTTTATAAACAAAATATTAAATTGCATTAAATCGGCTGGTATTATGTCGAGGAGATTGAACACTAAGAATGCAAGCTGTCCAGTTTGAGAGCTTCGATAATTTGCAGTGAGAAGACATTTGTTTCCGACTTGAATTGATACACACGCACACACGAGATGGACACACACACACAAAAGTAACTGGAATCATTTTCTGTGTAACAAGCCCGTGGTAATTCAGGCTTCCATCGCTAGATGCCACTTGAGACAACCCTCAGGCATCAGTGTGCTACTAACTGGTGTCATTGTGGGAAGACGTACAAGTCCGTGGTTCACATTTGTTTCGAAGTGCTTCCCGCCTTTTCGTCTATTTTCATCATGGCTGAAAGGATGCTCGTTGTAAACTGAAAAGAACAGTTGGAAGTTGATCCAGACTTTTTTTTCGAAGGTCATCACTGGTGACGAAATCTGGTGCTATGGTTACGACCCGGAAACGAAGTAGCAATCAAGTTAGTGGAAGCATCCAATGTCACCGCGACCCCGCAAAAAGCGCGTCAGGTGAAGTTCATTGTCAATTCGATGCTGATTTGTTTCTTTCATATGAAAGGAATTCTTCACAAAGAATTTCTTCCTACTGGTCAAACTGTTAACCAGGCTTTTTACTTGGAAGTCCTGAAGCGTTTGCAAGACAAGGTGAGACAAAAAGTGGCAAAGTGGAGGGTAATGGCTGCATTACGGCAATGCACACCCGCCTTGAGGTTGAGACAGCTTCTAATAGTTTCTAACCAAGAATGGCATGACCCCACTCCCCTCCCCCCAACCTCCCTATTCGCCCGATCTCGTCCCACTGCGACTTTCTGTCTTTGTGTGTCCAAACCGAATGAAAAAAGTCCTCAAAGGAAAATGTTTTGCAGATACGGAAGAGGTTAAGAAGAAAACGACGGAGTCATTAAAAAATATAACTTCACAAGAGTTCCAGGATTGCTTTGAACAATGGAAAATACGTCTGGATCGGTGCATTGCTTCAAATGGAAAATACTTTGAAGGTGATAAGAATATAAACATGCAACAATAAATGAATAAAATTATGTGACAAAATTCCGGTTACTTTTGGTTCCCCACTCATATATATATATATATATATATATATATATATATATATATATATATATATATATATATAATTTGTGCCAAATGGAGATATTCACATTTTGTATCCCTACAGGTTTTGTTCAGGTTTATTTTTGCAATGATTTTCATGTTACCTGGTAAATTGAAAAGCCGAAATTCGTCAAACTAAAATTCGCGCTGCAATTAACTTCCTAAAAAGCTAAGGCAAATGTACATAATGACTTCTTTTCTGGTCAGGAAGAGTTTATAAATAAATGAAGAGGACATGAATAAATGAAAAGATATGTATTTTAAGTATGAAGGTGTAGATTCACAAATAGACAATGGAGAGGTCATGGTTAAAAATGTAATTGGTAGAACTGATCAACAAAATGAATTGAGAAATTTTGAAATGAACAATAAAAGGCGAAAGAAAAGAACAGGACAAAAATAATATTAATATTTTATTTTTATCTGAGTATTTATGTAGATAGATAGACAGGTAGATAGATAGATAAAAAATAAACATGAAGTTTTTTCTCAAAATGTTTTCAAACCACACAAGCATGCAGGAATAGATGAATGCTTATATTATATATATATATATATATATATATATATATATATATAATAAAGAAAAGGAATTTTAAAGAAAATTGTTTTGTCTTTATTCATATTTTCATCTTATAGATATATTTTATTTTTATCTGAATATTTACGTAGATAGATTGACAAACAGATAGATACATATATAGAAAGTAAATATGAAGTAATTTTTCTTAAAATGTTTTGACGAACCACGCACACACACAAAAGACCACACGCACGCATACATACATACATACATACATACATGATAAGCAAAATAGTTTCATTAAATTTTTCTTCGCAGAACGTTCTTTAATTAGAATCAAATTTGAATTTCAAATTGTTTTTAACTCGATTCTCTCAGTAAATTTGTTTTCTTTTTTATGACCATCGACAATTCGGCTTCTCTTTACCTGATTTTAATGAAAATTATGTCTAGATTCCCACAAGAACTAGTATTAGTCTTAGTTTTTGTAGTGGTAGTAGTAGTACTACTACTAGTAGTAGTAGTATAAAATAAGTGAAAGACGTTCAGTTTTAAAACACTAATTTCTGTTGACTTTAACCATGAATCAAATGACACTCAGTCCCTTTAATATCCAGAACTCCTGATATGATTACTACTCTAATAATAATAATAATAATACAAGAACAATAATAGTTATTATTATTGTTGTTGTTGTTTTATTTTGATTCTTGATAAAATTATTTACAGTACACTGACTTTTTTCTCAAATCAACAGTGAAAGTTACTATAAGATTGTGAGTAGTAGACTATCTTCGTATAATATGCGTTTTTATGCACACACACACATACACAGATATATATGTGTGTGTGTGTGTGTGTGTGTATCAGAGAATTTTGAATAAAAAATAAAATGGACAGAATAAATAAATTTATTTGTAAAACAAAGTGTTTTGTTTATTGTAAATTTAAAATTTAATTTATCAGTTTGAAATTAAAATAAAAGCTTCAAGAAAGATTTTTCATTTTTTAAAGTTCATTTAAAACCTGAGGCATTCCGTTTTTCTTGATGATACCAAAATTTAGTTAAAATTTATAGAATTTAATTCGATAATCATTTTGTTATTTTCAGCCTCAATCATAATTTCTTTTTTGGAATCAATTCGACGAAGAATTGACCTAAAGTTTTATTTCTCGAAATTATTATTATTATTATTATTATTATTATTATTATTTCTTCTTCTTTTGATTCGTCCTTCGATAAAAAATATTTACAAAGATATTGTTCTTAACTGAACAGTGAAAGAAATTGTTTTTCTTGTTTTAGCCGCGGAACAATTGACCTAAATTTTGATTTCTCGGAATTTGACTGGCAAAAACGAGTTTCATTTTGTCTTTTCTACCCTCTTGAAATTATATTCGAAATTCTTTTTAATTTGAAAAAAAAAAATAATGTTATTTCGGATTTTAATTCCTATTAAATATATATATATATATATATATATATATATATATTGATTGAATTTGCTGGATTAAAATATTGCCCATAACTTTTTAGAATGATTTTAGACAAAGTTATTTTTAAACAAATAATCTCATATTCAGTATGTACAAGTGAATGAAAACTAAAAAAGAAGAGAATTGTTGGTATTGTAGATGACCGTGGGGGGTGATGAGTATGTATTGTAGAATTTCCTGCTAGCCGGTCCAACTACATGAGAAAGTTGGGCTTTAATTAAGTCCAAAGAAAACAAGACCGATAAATATATGTAAACAAATATATGTATTAACGACAAGTACAAGTTACATTGAGTAGACACTTACATGGACAGAGTGTGTGTGGTGTTTATTATGTGTGTGTGTTGTGGTGAGTGTTCGTACGTACGTGTATTGTTCTTAGCGTGTTACCAGAACTTGGGAAACGCTGTATTTATAACCAGGGGAGAGAGATCCCTGGTGAAGGGTTAAGGAGCTAACTCCGACATTATTTTAGTAAACACGTACATAAATACTTTGATATTGTAATAGGCACCACTACGCTAGTAAATTTCATAATGTCTTTGATTTTGCTTCCTGCAAACCCAAAATTATTCTAATCTTACCTTTAAGATGGCTTTCATATTTTTTTTTCTCTGTGAATTTCATTTAAATACTTTTTTCTTTGCTAATTCGTTCTTTCCTTAAACTTGCATTGTGTAGTTTTACTCATCTTTTTTTATCTCTAATCTTTGATCATAAAAAAGAAATGCCAACAATTCTCTTCGGGGATTTATTGTTTGAAGAGAGTTCCAAAAACTGTTTGGCCCCCCCTGAAGGCATTTACAGAGAAATATGTTGTTGATGGTTCTTAGACGACAGGACACAGAACGTCAAAAAGAATATTTTGAATAATGAAGCCGTGAATTTATAAGAACAAGAGATTTTGTATCATTCTCATCTGATCAATTCATTATAAAGTACTGGATAAGCTACAGTGAGCAATTGGCTTGTTTGAATGACAATTCTTAAATCGATCTTTAAGCTTCCTTCTAAAATCCCAAAGAGGAAATGAAATAATGAATTGTTGGAATCTCTCTTTCTTCAATAGGTTCTATGGCTGTACCTAAAGCAACACCGTAAAATCGACTTGGAATTTCCGTCTGGAATCTTCAGAAACAAAAGTACCAATTCTTTCTCCTATTTTACCAATTCTTCTTCCTACCTTCTCTCTTTCTCTGTCTCTGTCTCTCTCCCTCCCTCTCACCCACCGTCTCTCCTTCCCTCCGTCTCTCCCTCCCTCTCTTGCTCAGTTTTTTCATTCATTGTCTCTAGTTACTTTGCAAATTCAGTCTTAAAATGATTTGAAATAAATAAAAATTAAAATTCATTTGGGCAACGAATAATGAATGACAATTTCAGAAAATTATCGAATCTCCACGAAAAAATAAAATAATAATAATGGGGGTTGGGGCAAGAAAGAAAATCCTAAACTAAAAAGAAATTGGTTTTGATTAGACACAACAGACGGCCTCATGGCCGGTGCAACAGTCTTGTTTGCGGCAGACTTTAGATAAACCTTTCCCGTGATCCTTTTGACACATCGTTTTTGGTTTTGTTTTTGACGGGTACTAATGTTAAATATTGCTATGATTTTGTTTAAAGAAAGAAACACCAATTTCTTGATCATTGCTCTGCTGGTGTTCAGTATTTCCGAAGATAAACGATTTTACTTTTCATATAAGAATTAATGTTCTTTGATTCATAATCAGAAAAATCATTTTCAAATGATTTAACTTTTCACTGTCGACATTAATTCGAAGGTACTTCTATTTTGTCTATCGTTTCATGTCATGTATGTAAAATGATATATACAGATTGAAATGAGTGTCCTGCCGTAGAGCAACGGTCAGTAAGTCTTTATTAATCATCATCATAATCATGTTATTTTACTGATAATAGTAGTCCGAGTATGTTTCCAATATATATATATATATATATATATAAATAAAAAGAAAGAACAGTAAGATATATAATCCGGTGTTTTACAAAATAGTGCTCAGTGTAAATTTACAGAGCATTAATATTATAAATTAATTGATTTAAAATGTTTTTTTCGCTACACAGTTCTAACCATGTTTCAAAAATGGAAACTAAAAGCCACGAATTTAATTTTGCAATTAAATTAAAGACATTAGTTCCATTTCCATAGAAATTCAAAAAGAAAACAGAAAATAAAAAACAGAAAATTTAACATTATTTACATTATTCGGACTATTGTCCTCATCTTTGTCGCCAATATTTATATTATTGAATTTTTAGGTCTGATGAATTGGATCGTGATTTCGATTCCAATGGAATAAATTATAACCATGGAATATTAGTGTTTGAGCCTTTGACATGATATATGTATGTGTGTGTGTGTTTGTGTGTTCGTGATAATTTTTTGAAATTAAATTATGTTGTCATTATACATATATATATATATATATATATATATATTGATAAAATTAGTTGTCTATATATATTTGTGTGTGTTTTATGAGTGCAGTTATGCTTTTGTATGATATATTAATCGATTATAAGTCGTTATTTTATTTATAACTTTTATCAAAGTTTATGGATTGGCAGTTTCAAGAGCCTCTCAAGGCAGAGTTTTACTGAATGTGGTGCATGATATGAATATCAGAGGAATAAGTAGGAAAATGAGTCACAAAATTAAATTTCTTTCAATATTAAGAGAAATCATTCTTGCTTGACAGAAAAGATTTCATAATTGTTTTAATAGAAACAGAATAATAATAATAATAATAATTATAAGATTTTCCAGTACAGATATTGGCCCACTCTGTCATGCCGGGTTTTATATTCAGTGTGTGCCAATATCGTGCAACTTGATACAAGATGATCAATCGTTTCTGGATATTTATCACAGAATGTGCATTTTGGGCTGACACAATATATTAGTATATGTGCTTGATAATTCCTGTAAACCCAAGCAAGGATAAAACCTTCAGTTTGCTTTTTTTTTTTTTTACGTAAATGTCATGACGCCATTTCTGACTTAGGTTTTGTCTACGTCAGCTTGTTTGGAACGGGCAGAGGAAATTGGCCATGAAGCGGTTTATCTTGCCATCAACTTCTGTATCTGGTCGGTTGCATTCGTCTTTGCTGTCTTTTTTAAGTATTTTGCAGTTTCAGTCGGTGTATTGTGTTGTAGTTGCATCTATACGCCCATTTGAAACTCCATTTTGAATTTGTTGTCTTCTTTTATTACGGAGTATAGACGCTTACTACGTTCATGTTCCTTGACGCATACCATCATCCAGTCTTCTGTAGTTTCCAAGTATCTTTGGAGGCCAATTGTTGTAGTTTGGTAGGGCAGTTCTAGTTGAACTAATACTCTGCCTCCTTCGGATCTGGGCACATACAGACGATCAACATCAGCTTTGGGATGATGCATGCGATAGCAAGTGAGAAGCTTTCTCGTTTTGGCGTCTATTCGCTTAATTTCAGCTATGGTCCAGTTAAGGACATTAAAGTTGTATTGCACCACATGGTCAGCCAAGGTGTTTATGGCCGATATTCTGTTTTTTGAGTTTAGCTCGGTATTTAGTAACAGACGTACACGCCTGTAGTACCCCTTTCTTATTGTTTTCTTCATTTAGGGGTGTTGTATGCCATCTCCTTCGCTAATTCCTAGGTACTTATAAGCTTCATCATGCTCCAGTTCCCTAATCTTCGTGACAAAATCTAAATCTATTAAGGGTGTTTCTGTAATTCTACCTTTCTTGAATGTTACTTTTGCACATTTATCTAATCCGAAGCCCATACCTATGTCGTCACTGAAGTATTTTACAATATTGAGGAGGCCTTTCAACTCATTGTTGTCTTTGGCAAAGAGTTTGAGATCATCCATGTAAAGTAGGCGATTGAGTATTTTCTTATTTATTTTGTAACCATAGCTACTGTTGTTCAGTTCATGTGTAAGAGGGATTAAGGATAAACAAAACAGAAGGGTGACAGAGAGTCTCCTTGAAAGATTCTGTTTCGGATATTCAGACGGTTGGATATGGCAGTGCCCCCGGTGTGACTAAGGTATAGTTTGGTGTTCCTTCATTTCCATGCTGTGCTTTAAGGAAATTTAATACCACAGGGGAGACTTTGTACATTTCCAAAGTTTTAAGGATCCAAGAATGTGGAACACTATCAAAGGCTTTACGATAATCAATCCACGCTGCACTAAGATTTCTATGTCGTACATTTAATTTTCCAGGATCATTTTATTTATCAGAAGTATTTTGATCTTTGCAGCCATATGAACCTCTTCTGCATCCCTTCTGTTCCGGCGGAAGAATCCTGTTTGTTTCGAATAAGGAATAAGTACTGTTCGTCAGAACAGACGTGATCAACTTATACGTTGTGGAGAGACATGTTATCGGTCTATAATTTTTCGGGTCGTCTGTTTCTGTTGTTTTTGGTATGAGGTATGTAATACATTCAGTAATCCATTCCGGGATTTTATTGGGATTATTTACAAGAATTTTATGGATAGATGAGAGATGAAAAAGCTAGAAATTGGGCACCTTGTCACTTCCTGGGGATTTCCATTTTTGTGATTTCGTTAGAGCTTGCCTAACATCATCTGTGGATATATTTTCCCATTCTTGCAGAAGTGTATCCAGTATTTGTTCTTCTTCACGCCGTATCCATTCTGCACTTAGGTTATATTCCTTTGGGCTGCTTCAAATATTTTCCCAAAATGTCTGTACATTATCAATCGATGGTGGCCTTTCGACATGTATAGGTGTTTTTCCAATTTCAGCATAACAGCAACAACTGCAGAAATTAACCTGCTCAATGAGAAAATAAAAAAAAACAAACGGACACGCAAGAATATACCAACATAAATAATGTCAATAAAAGCTCACACAAACCAAACAGTGAGGGAACAACAAAAAACAAAGACTGAAAAACAAAGAAAATTAAAATGGAATATTTCCTCCAGACAGAGGAACAAAAGAGAAATGAAGCCAAACTCTGAAAAAAGTGAACGACCACACCCCAAAAGAAAACAACAAAACACAGCAACTACACTGACCACCACACAACCAATGCAAACACAAAACAGACCAAATAAGTACACCAACAGACAACCACCAGCACCACCGACAACAATAACAACACCGCCACCATGAACGATAGCTAGAACATCAAAACAAACACACACACAAAACAAACCACTAACTTACGCGGACACCCTTAGGGTGCCGTACAAACATACACAAACCAAAACACAGCAACCCTTCTACAGAACGCATAACCATTAGACATCCCAGACCACCTAGATTAGCCCCTAGTAGACAGTCAACAACAAACACACCCAACCTTAAAAAAAAACGGAATAAGCCCCCAATCAGGACACCTGGGTGGGGGTATAGCATCCCTAATAGGAGATATGATACAAGCTTTCGAGCTTTTACGAAAGAACTTCGCCATGCTTGCAAATTCAAACTTGACCCATACGGGCGAGTTATAAATTTAAAGTAACAATAAATTTTCACTCAACACATTCAGGTTATTAAATAAAGGACTAAGTTTTGCCCTAGTCCCCCAAGGTTTGATAAAGACACCTTGGCAAAGGACCTGAAATCCTTCTTCAGAAGAATACGGTTAAAAGCCCACTACGGGGAAAATGATCACACAACTTCCATACTTGAGACATTAAAAGAGAAGGACACTACCTGCAGCCCACAAAACACAGACATTACTATACAGACATTTGAACTAGCCGTAGCAAATGACATAAAGAAAACAATAGCATGTAAGCTGCCACGTAACAATATTACTGAAGTGGAACGTGTAGCCCTCGATACACTGACACATAGAGATGACCTAATCATAACACAGGCTGACAAAGGGGGTTCGATAGTGATCAGGGGAATCGAAGAATACATTAAAGAGGCCATCAAATAGGTATCCGACAAAGAAACCTATAAAAGCTTACCTACAGATCCCCTTCCCGAATACCAAAAAGAATTAACTAGCTCACTAAACATAATGCTTCGCAACAATCTAATCGACAAGGAAACATGCACAACACTTACACCCACAAACATCACACCTGCTCGCTTCTATCTCATTTCTAAAATACACAAAAGCAACAACCCTGGAAGGGCGGTCATTTCATCATTCAACTGCCACATGACCAAAATTTCCAAATACATAGACCATTACATACAACCGCTAGCTAAGGAAGTAAAATCCTACATCAGAAACACGACAGATCTACCAAACAAAATTAATCACATACAAACAGTTCCAGAGAATGCTATTCTAGTGACTATGGACGTTAGGACACTCTATTCAAAAATTAAACACATCGAAGGGCTAACCGCCCTTCAGGAAGCACTTACTAAAAGAAGAAAACAAGACCCCACGACAGAAGTCATCATAAAACTCATGGAGCATGTCCTTACATTCAACTGCAATGGAGCACACTACCTTCAAATAAGAGGTTGTGCCATGGGCACCATTGCAGCTCCATCATATGCTACAATATTTATGGGAAAATTTGAGGAGACCCATATCTATCCAATCATTGGTAGCGACTGCGTATTCTATGCAAGATATATCGATGATATATTCTTTGTATACACGAGTAGTGATGATAAACTTACCCAATTCCTTATGAACCTAAACACAGTGCACGACTCAATTAAGTTTGACAATGAAAAATCCACAACATCAGTAACATTTTTAGACACCCGCATTTACATAGATGAAAACAGGAAACTACAAACGATTTTTACACACTAAAATCACCGACACCCACAACTATCTACACTTTAAGTCTTCCTACCCTAAACACCTCAAAGAGAACCTTCCCTATTCACAAGCACTTAGACCCAGAAGGATATGTTCCAACAATGAAGAATTAAATAAACACATTGAAAATCAGGAGCATCAATTCACAAAACGTGGCTATAAACAACACCTAATCAGGGAACAAATAAATAAAGCAATTTCCACACCTAGAGAAGACACCCTAATGTACAAGATTAAAAATAAATCTAGCCGCATTCCTCTAGTAACCACTTTCAATCCCACTCTGCCTCCAAAAACAAAACAAAAAACAAATGAAAACTATAGACAAAAGTTCATTTTCTCCATCAAGACATTCATTTCTGTAGTTCACTGCTACCAGCAAGCAGAAATATTTCTTCTCCTGATGATGGCCATTTTGGCCGAAACTAGTCGAGGAATCTGAATGAAATAATAATAAAAAAAACGAAAGGATATTAATCTACAACCCAGTGTGTCTGAAGATTTTAATTTTTAATATTTTTTTATTGTTCAATATATATATATATATATATATATATATATATAGGTAAGTAATCCAGGCTAGTTAGGTTAATCTATATTTTAATTTAATTTAGATTTTAATTTTAAATTATAAATTCAAGATTCAAAATTTAAAATTTGAAACTTTAGATTTTAATTATAAATTTTTACTCCTTAATTGTTATTAATAATATTAATAATAATATGAATATTTATTGTTTATTTTATATTCACATTATATTTTCCTAATTTATTTTGCTGATAATTTTTAAATGAATGTCAAATGTTAACTGCAATATATATATATCAATTTGTGCTTTTTCAAAATAATCGCAATTTGCCAATATTTCTTTTCTTCTTTTTCTACTTTTTTCCTCACCCCCCTGCTTCCACATTTGCTTTCTTATATCTTTACTTCTCTCTTTTTTTTTTATCTCTTTGTCTCGTTTCTTATGAGATGACTTATTAAATCGGTCAATGTCTGGTCCTTACCCCCCCTCCTTTACTCTTTAAGAATCTTTATATAAAAATAGATTTAAAATAATTCCTATCTAATTTCAACCATATCTGCCATCCTCCTCGCCCTCTCTCTATCATCCATGTTTCAAAAATGGAAGCTAAAAGCCACGAATTTAATTTTGTGATTAAATTAAAGACATTAGTTCCATTTCATCCTCAAGCGAATTTTGGAGTAACTTTTTAATATATAATGATAATATTTGCTAATCAGTTGTATAATTCCAGAGAGGATATAGATCCAGAAAGAGTTCAATGTCAATAACAGAGCAAATAATAGAAAAGATGATTTTAAAAGATCATGGTGATATTCTAAAGAAATATTACCAATGATCTTTTAAAATCTTCATTTTCATAATTATAAAGAACCAAATTTGTAGTTCTACTATTAAAAGAGAACCTCTATTAATCCCTGAAAATAGATGTTTATTTCTAGAAATCGGGTTTAGATAGGTAAGGATGGCCAAACTTAATCACGCTCCCCACTTTTTAGGCCATGTGCCACAATTATTGTATTTTACATTAATAAATAGAATCTATCTATCTATCTATCTATCTATCTATCTATCTATGTAAGCCTCCGGATCATACTCCTACCTTCTAAATGTTTTCATCTTTATTTCGCGGTTGACAAAATATCCAGAGGTTTTCGTATGCCACGTAGGCTCTGGAGACACAAACACAAACACACACTGTCCGATTGTTCTTTTTATCTGAGCGCTTTCGGTTAGACATTAAAAAAAAGTTATATCTATCTATCTATCTATCTATCTATCTATCTATCTATCTATCTTATCTCAGTCTTTTGACATTTGATCGCGGTTCAAGGTCATCGGAAATTTCCACTGAATCATAATTTGTTTCTTTCACATTTCTCGGAATCAACAAGTCTAGTTTCATTTTATCTTTGTTTCAAAATCATGAAATTCAAAATACGTTTTGGATTTTTTACAAGAAATAAAAGAAATATGAATTTGATTTCAAAAATAAAGAATCTAATTTTATTCGTAATTTTGGTTTTATTTACATAAAATGATAATTTATGGAATTAAATACGATTTTATTCGGATTTATTTATTATAATTTTTTTTGTCTTCTTCCCTTTCATATTAAACAAAAGTCACTTTGTTATTTCATGTCCAGTGGTGTGTTTATTCTCATCCAATGAAATGCCTTATATTTCTATGACGTCATCCTACATTCTGATTGGTTATTCCTATTTAAACCCTTTTGGGCGATAGTAATTGTCAGTTTGTTTCAAACAATTCAACAAAGAAGACAACGTTTGCAGTTTGTTTTCGTCACACGCCATTTGACAAAAAACCAGTTCCACTCAAGTGAAATTGAAATCAACTGTAAGTATAAATTTTATTGATTATCAAATCATTTAAATTTCTTAAAAGTTTCCATTTCACCCAAAGCAAGGCAAGAAAGCCACTCCGACGCAAGTGTTTGCTGAATATGAAAAAATAATGATTGTTTTGTCGATCTATATCTCAGTCCTTTACATATCTATCTATCTATCTATCTATCTATCTATCTATCTATCTATCTAAGTCCTTTTCATCTCTCTCTGTCTGTCTGTCTGTCTGTCTGTCTCTCTCTCTCTCTCTCTCTCTATATATATATATATATATATATATCCTCTTTCTTCATTGTCTATCTAATTATGTATTTATCTAGGCAAGTTCATTATCTATGTATCTATCATTAAAAATATTTTAATGAGTGGATCAGTTTATTTAAGAAGATTTGTTCAATTTTTTTGTCGTAAAAAAAAAAAAAAAAAAAATAGAATCGTTTCGTAAACAGACGATAAAAGGCCGCCATCTTCAAATTTCTTAAAATGTTGCCCGGTGAAATGGACATTAAACCAATTAACATCTGAATGTTAAAAGTGATTGTGAAGTGAGCGAATTGGAGCCTCATTTTTCTCTTTTTTTCAATCTCTCTGTTTCTTTTACCCTTTCTTTCTCTCCCTTTTTTCTCCCTCTCACCTGCAATGATAACCACTCCCTCCTTTATTTCTTTCGATTTCTCTCACATCTTCTTGCCCATTCCTCCCCTTCCATACTTCCCACCCCCTTTTTATCTCATGTAACGCCCTCCGGTCTAGTGGGGGGATTATTCTCGTCCAATGAAATGCCTTAAACTCGCATGACATCACATCGCTTATTCCTCCCTCCCCTTCACTTACTCTCTCTATGTTTATGGCTTTACATATTAGTGAACAACAAATTCAGTGGCAAACAACAACAACAACAACAATAATAATAATCGTAGAAGCGTTGTTGTTGTTGTTGTTGTTCATTTGAGTGAAAGAAGCTGGATTAGATAAATAGACAGACTGATATATAAAATTTATTTGAGTTTGTACATGTCTTTGTGTGTGTGTGTGTGTGTGTGTGTGTGTGTGTGTGTGTGTGTGACGCCAGTGATTTTAGTATTAGATCAAGAAAGTCTTTTATATCTAATTGTATAAAAGAGAAATTGTTTTTATTTGTAATATTGTTAAAGCAATTAATGAAAAAGAGGTAAATAAATTTTACCAAACTACCAATAATGAATTAGAAAAGAACCAAAATAAATAAGTAAAAACCATAGCAACGAAAGTAAAATTAAATAATAGAATGAAACAATGAAAGTAAAAGCATTCATTAAATTAAAAGATCAGAAAGACATTTTTTTTTAAATATACCAACATGAAGACAATGAAATCCTACAAAAACTAATATGGGAAAAAGAAGCCAAAAACTAGTAGAAAACTTGTGTAGGAAACTAAGAAAAATATACAATATAGACGAATGGAAAAATACAAAAGAAGCCAAAAAGACCCCCACCACCAAAAAAGTCTTCATCGTCTCCAGAGTTTGGTGTCTAACTCAGACCAGAATCTATGATACGGGGGCACCCCCATCTACTACATCTCGACAATGTAAAGTGAGTAGAAATAAATGTAAATGTTGCTGTTTTTACGTACAAGATAGATAGATAGATAGATAGATAGATATGAGTAGAGGCTGGAATAGATACATACATACATACATACATGCATAGATAGACCAGGGTAGAGCCTAGTTATGTATCGATAGATACATAGATAGATATGAATAAACTAATATATATATATATTTATATATATAAATATATATGTATATATATATAGTGAGAGATAGATATATTGATATGAACAGATTAAATTTAAAAATATATATATCTGTAGATAGATATAAATAAATAAACTAATATATATATATATATATATATATATATATATATATAGTGAGAGATAGATAGATAGATAGATAGATATGAATACCCTAATAATATATATATGGATGGATATTTTACAGAATTCTTGATCGCCTTTTGAAATAAAGATACTTTTAATTATATTGGCAAATAAAATTATGACTTTAATGGATTTTGTTGGATTTCAAACTAATATTACACAGGCTCCATAGTGGGGAGGGGGATCTTGCACACCAAATCGTATCTCTCCATCCAAAAGGGGAAGTGCTAAGGGGACGACTTGCGTCATTATTCCACGGTATTGCCGGTAAGCCCACTTTAATCGATAACCTTGTGTCAACTTCGGTTACGACGGAGGCTTGATGAAAAACCTGCTTTAGATTTTGATATGAGTCATGGAAATTTGGGTAGGGTCGTAGGTTTTTGAAAAAAAATCCTACTTTCATTACTTCTTTTCGTCATTAGCGAACGGAAGAAAAAAAAACATGAACGGAAGAAAAAAAAACATGAAAAAAACATTTAGATAGATAGATAGATGCTAGAATAGATAGATAGATAGATAGATAGATAGATAGATAGATAGATAATGAGTAGAGGCTGGAATACAGAGATAGATAGATAGATAGATAGATAGACGGACATGAGCAGAGTCTGGAAAAGATAGATAGATAGACAGACAGACAGGAACAGAGGCTAGGATAGATACAGAGAGAGATTGAGATAAATACTTTTTATAGATAGATAGATAGATAGATAAGAGTAGAGGCAGGAACAGATAGATAGATAGATAGATAGATAGATAGGGACAGAGGCTGGGATAGATAGATAATGATGGGAAGAGCCTGGAATTGATAGATAGATAGATAGATAGATAGATAGATAGATAGATAGATAGATAGATAGATAGTGAAGGGCAGAGGCTGAGATAGATAGATAGATAGATAGATAGATAGATAGATAGATAGAAATGTGCAGAGGCTGGGATATATGTATAGATAGATAAATAGATAGAGTAATAGACATCGGCAGAGGCTTGGATAGATAGATAGATAGATAGATAGATAGATAGATAGATAGATAGATAGATAGATAGATATGGGCCGAGGCTGGGGTAGATAGATAGATAGATAGATAGATAGACATGTGCAGAGGCTGGGATATATATATATATATATATATATATATATACATATAGATCGATAGATAGATAGGTAGATATGTGCACAGTCTGGGATAGATAGATAGATAGATAAACAGTCTGACGTGGACAGAAGCTGGGATAGATAGATAGATAGATAGATAGATAGATAATGTGCAGAGGCTTGGATAGATAGACATGGGAAGTGGCTTGGAGAGATAGATATATAGAAGCAGAAGCTGGGATAAATAGATAGATAGATAGAATGAAGGGACTGCGATAGATAGATAGATAGATAGATAGATAGATAGATAGATATGCTCAGAGGCTGGGATAGATAGATAGATAGATAGATAGATAGATAGATAGATAGATAGATAGATAGATATGGGAAGAGGCTAGAATACTTAGATATATAGATAGATAGAAAGATAGTGATGGTCAGAACCTGGAATTGATAGATAGATAGATAAACATGGGCAGAGGCTGGGATAGATAGATAGATATGTGCAGAGGCTGGGATATATATATATATATATATATATATATATATATATATATATATATAGATAGATAGATAGATAGATATGTGCAGAGGCTGGGATATATATATATATATATATATAGATAGATAGATAGAGAAATAGACATCGGCAGAGACTGGGATAGATAGATAGATAAATAATGTGCAAAGGCTGGGATAGATAGATAATGTGCAGAGGCTTGGATAGATAGATAGATAGATAGATAGATAGATAGATAGATAGATAGATATGGCATAGGTGGGGATAGATATATCGATATGTTATAGGCTGGGATAGATAGTTAGATAGATGGATAGTTATGGGTAGTGCCTGGAATTGATAGATAGATAGATAGACATGGGGAGAGGCTGAGATAGATAGATAGATATGTGCAGAGGCTGGGATAGATAGATAGATAGATAGATATGGGCAGAGGCTAGGATAGATAGATAGATAGATAGATAGATAGATAGATAGATAGATAGATAGATAGATAGATGGACATGGGCAGAGCCTGAAATTCATAGATAGATAGATAGATAGATAGATAGATAGATAGATAGATAGATAGATAGATATACATGGGCAGAGTCTGGGATGGATAGATATATGGACAGCGGCTTGGATAGATAGATAGATAGATAGGCAGAGCCTGGAATTGATAGATAGATAGATATGGGCAGAGGCTGGGATAGATAGATAGATAGATAGATATGGCATAGGTTGGGATAGATATATAGATATGGTATAGGCTGGGATAGATAGATAGATATGGGTAGAGCCTGGAATTGATAGATAGATAGATATTGGCAGAGGCTGGGATAGATAGATAGATAGATAGATAGATAGATAGATAGATAGATAGATAGATATGTACAGAGTCTGGAATAGATATATATATATATATATATAGATCTATA